TTATAAGAAGAAGAACGAAAAATGGTTGGAAGTAACATACAATATGATCAATGTTTGAATAATGAAGTTGTCGTGGAATACAAACAATTTGGCTCTGCCAATAACTTTAAAAATGGCATTAAAAAACACCAAAACTAATTTAAAAACTTTCGAACATAACTTGATCAAGAAAATAAAGACCACACAAAAATATTACTTTAATTACAAAGATGTAGGAGAATAATAGTAATAAGAGTTGAAATATTTGAAAAAAGTTTCGCTGGTATAACAAATGAAAGACAATACTATACAAGATTAAAACGTTGCCTCAGAAAATTTGATGAGAACAAAGGCTGAATATGACTTGAAATAACACAAAAACAAAGCTTTTTTACTATATGTCAAAAATAACCACTTTGAGTTGGAGACACTTGACCAAACAAATAAGAACTAAAAACGGTTGAAGATCACACAAGTGAATAAACTGGCTGTGTTGAATAAGTACCTGATTTTGAAAAAAATCAAGCTCAAAAAGCTAAAGCCAAGAACAAAAATATGCAGACAAACTTAAAGAATTAATGGAACAAGAACGAATTTAATGAATTTGAAAAACCAGCTGAGAACTCTGTTAATTTGTAGACTGCTCAAAAATCTAATAAACAGAATAAATTCGAAAATTAAAAAACAATGAAACAAGAAGCTGATAAAAAATCAAAGACTCAAAAGCTTAAGTGACGGATTAGAAGCTAAATTGGCGGATGCTGGAGATTCATTTGTGATATTGAAAATGATTATTAAAACAGAAATAGAATCAATTACAAAAGAAAAGAAAGAAGCACAAAACGTTGCAGCCAAAGCCAAAAAAATAGATAAAAAGTGTGCCATGAAGATTGAAAAAGCCGAGATGGCTTGCAAAGTTTGGACAAAATAAGTTCACATACACAAATTGGAAAAGACCAGTCAATTTAAAGAAGATTCAACAATTAGTCAGAGATTGTGAAATTTCAAAATTAAAGGTTCAAGTAAGAAAGGTTGAAAATACTAATAACAAGCAACTTGGAGTCAATAAGGCAAATGCCGAACTTAAGAAGATTAACAATGGTTTAAAATGTGCAAAAACAAAACAAATGGATTGAGTTATCGTTTTATATTTATTACTTGTTTATAAAGCATGTTTCCAAATAATCTTAAAATAGTTTCTTGGTTTGTATTTTTATTTTTAATTTAGAATTGAATAACAAATCGTACCCCTTTAATGTTTTTCTAACTTGTCATTCATCTTCTAATTATAAATTGATGTTATTGTTATTA